TGTGTGTGTGTGTGTGTGTGTGTGTGTGTGTGTGTGTGTGTGTGTGTGTGTCCTCTGGCAGGCTATGGCATTGGCCTCCCTCAGAACTCTCCTCTCACCTCCAACTTCTCAGAGCTTGTTAGCCAGTACAAATCCGACGGCTTCATGGACATGCTCCACGACAAATGGTACAAGGTAGTGCCCTGTGGGAAGCGCAGCTTTGCCATGACTGAGGTGAGTGGCCGAGGGATAGATGCGATCATGTTGTTATAGTTTGTTCTCCATGAAAAAATAACAGCGCAGGTTACAGGTTTGTTTTAAAACCCAACTCTACATTGTCTGATTAAATCATTATAATGCAAAACATTTATAGAGATGCATTTCCTGTCACTTACAGTTTCTCTTGCAACTTTCTTTTTTTTTGCTTGACTCTGGAAAAGCCTTTCCTCTACACAGCAACCTCCGTGTACAGCAATTGTCCTTTTCTAATTCACATTTAGGCCTCTGACCTCACAGCTGCCAAAACAGGCAGTGCCCATATAACTGCTGTCCTCAGTCATTTTGGCCCCTTGGTGCAGTCTGCCCTTCTATTACTGAACAGTAGCAGCCTGGCTATCTTTACAACCAACGGCGACTGAGCCCCCGATAATGGCACCAAGCTTTGTACTAGTGCTGCGAAATATTGTTTTCGTATTGACAAATCATTTTTACTGCTGTTCGGAAAATTGTTAAATCTCTGTGGCGCCTGCAATCCAATTTCCAATTAGGTTTGGAGGCTGTGTAAAATGTTGATAAAACTTGAACACAATGATCTCATAAATAATACATATAAAGGGCGTTTCAAATGTTGGAGTGCCATGTTTTACAATTTCATGAGAAATATCAGCTCGAATAGATTAAAACAGGGACATGTTTGCCACTGAGTGGTGTGTTTTCTTCCTTTTGGGGCGTCTAGAAAAGTCTTAGAACTGAGGAGACGATGATCTGGATTTATGGGAGAGAGTTAGTTGAATGCTGGATTACTGTTATTTTATTCTACTTCTCGTAGCTCTTTCTTCTCAATTTTTGTATTTCAAGATGCACCATTTTCCTTTCAGTTGGAGATGGTGTACAACGTAGGCCTAACCTGTACCAGCATTCTGAAGAATGCCATTGTGATAGACCTAGTGTGTGATTAGCTTTTTTCTTGCCGAAATATTAAATGCTGTCCCTGTAAAAGATGGAATCTGGATGGAAGCATCTGCTGCTCTAAAACCAGTATTCATTTCAGTATTGAGGGTACACTTTCAGTATTGAGGGTACATTTTCAGGTCTGAAAGTTGCCAGGTCCACAGACAGTAATGGACCCCCATTCTGTCAGATGCAGGCTTTTGAACTGAGTGCTGATAACAATTAAGCTGTTCTCTCTAGTCTGTGGCTAGGACACTGTAGCCATCATTTCCAGTACACACACACAAGCATGTATCTCTGTCCAGACCTTTACAAAAGGTCTAATATTTTCGTGAACTGAAAGAAAATACAATATTTGATGCATCTATGTTCTCCAAAGATTTAAGTTTTGGAAATCCCTGTAATCTGTTTGATTTCAATTTCACAATACCTCAACTTTTTTAAATTGGAGTAATAAGGTACATGTAAATTACAATATTATCTCAATCCATAATAATGACCGTGAATTATTAAGAGAGCCATTTCCCCATGTGTGGCATGTATAGGTATTGTAGATTTTATCTGTTGCAGCAGAAATTTAAATTTCTCCAGGTACATTTCATTTTGCAGCGTCAAGTGTCAATAGGCAACGTTACAGCAGAGAAAGCTGTCCAGACAATATTTTTCCTTTATCTGTGTGCCATTGAATATCACATACACCGGTACCTTCCAGAAAGCACTGCTAGATGTCAATCTATAGATAAAAACTAAAGATCATCAGACTAAAATGACGTTTAGGCGCCATGATATCCACTTCAGTGTGGTCTAAATGAAAGCTGGACAGTGTCAGCAGGCAGTTCATGATATGAGCTATTTCAATCACCGACAGCCCTGGCTCAGTTTAGCACTGCTCAGCGGTTTCCATTTCCATTTTTATTTATTTAGCAATCTGTTATTAAGGCTGCGGATTCTGAAAAGCTGAAGAATTCTGATGGATTGGACTTCGTGTGGCAGCCAAACTCTCTGGCTACCCTCCAGTTCTCTGTCACACCCAGGAAGTTGATCCCATTTCAACTAACAGAATCAATACTAATAAATGGCGTATTATTCAAATATCTTCCACTGAAAGAGCTAAAGGTAGCATTAATAAAAAGGATAAAGATTGGAGGAGTTTAGTGCTCGATGGAAGTTATTCATGGATTTTTTTTCGTAGAACTGGGTGGGAAATCTGCTGGTGATACAAGAAATGATTACTCAATGTGGCTGGTGTGAGCCAAGATGTGTGAGTGGGACTGAGAAGGTGTTGAATACAAATGGTATTCACATATGCTTAACCATAGGAGAAAAAAAACATGTTTTTAATTGCTCAAGCTCTTAGAGCATTGTTACATATCCATAGAAACCCGATCCTGACTGTTTAAAGATAGTGTTTTTGCTCTCTGCTTTTACAAGTTTTCTCAGCAGTTAGATGTTACTACAGATTATAATGTCCAGTTTTCAAAGGCTCATCAACTCCCACTCTGCAGAACGTATTTACAGCCAGCTCGCCAAGTTTATAGAACTGCAGTGATGAATTTAATCCATTATGTATTCTTTTCCAACATGACTTTATAATGCAATCACTGCAGCTGCTTCTGTACCACACGTTGTTCTGAACTCAGCAATAAAATTACAGAGCAAAAAAATCAGCTTGAACTTTAACATGTGGTCAGTCATAAAAAGTATGGTATTACATTTATATTTGCAGACTACATTTACAAATTAAGATGTTAGGGAATCATAGTCTAGTGCGATGCTTTCGGAGGAAACCTAGCTGAGCATTTTCAGCCTTAACTTTCATATTTTAAGACTTTCAGGGTTAGTTTATTGTGATAATTCCACATTTGAAAGGAAGAATATAAGGCACTTTGTTATGCTAACCGTATAGGTCTTACAACCTTTAAGAGCAAGCTTTAACAGGAAGCATTTTGGGAAAAATAAGGATCATTCCTGCCATTCAAAGTTCATTCAGTGTAGAAAGAAGACATTTTAACGTACTAAATTCGATTGTCAATTGCAGCATTTCGTTTAGGCTTCTGATCTCACTGATTGAACTGCGGTGCGAGCACAACTACTGACAGACTTTTAATCTTTTTATTTATGGACAAACTTTCCCTGTTGATTGTTTCCCTTAAAAGCAAAGCAGCTTCCATATGTCAATACTCAATACGGTCAGTGGCATTTAAGTCACTACCGATCAACAGAACAACATCGATCGCGTCATTAAAAGGGCCACCGTCAAGGTTTGGACAAATTTAACAGTTCTTGATGATAATGAGGTGAAAGTAACAATGGGCACACCTAAGAAGAGAGTCTTTAATGAGGACCAAATTATGAAGGTCAGACATTTTGCGTTTAACCAGTGACAGTTTTTTTTCTTTTGAGCGTTCTAATCACTGTGCCTGAAACATTTCTCACTCCTAATTTGTCAGATTTTGCCAAAGCACCCGATGTGTCTTTGGTATGTTTAAGGTGCACTTTGCTGGTAATGTCATGGCAAAGTCTCAGTTTGTCACCATGTTTGGAAAACCTTTTTGTTTCGTCCCTGTTTTCATCCATTGGAAGTTTACTTCAATGTCTACGTCGAGATATTGAGTGTGCTAGTTTAGTTTAGGAATCAAAGCTACTTGTTCCTTTTCCCTTGGTCTGGGATAAAATTCTGTATGTCATCTTAATTGGTGGATGAATCCACGGGTCTGAACACAACAGCTGCACTGCAGAGCGAAACCAAGATGGTCCCAGAATTTGCTGCATTTAAGGAAGTTGTGTCCATGCTGACGTCTGCCTATCATAAAAACAAAAAAATCCAACAGTAGGAACATCCGTGCCAAAACTGGAGCAGAGTGTAATCAGAGAAAGTGGCCTTGCCTGATGCATCACATTTTCCATCCTATCATGTGGAAGGTGCAAGTTTGGAATTTATCAGGAAAGAGAGATAGAAAGTGGGTCACCAGTGGAAGTGTGATACTCTGGACACATTTTTATTGGGCAATAAAGAGCTGCAGAGATCCCCGTGCTGCTTTTGGATCTTGTGCCATTTCATAAAAAGCTGTTTCTTTTTATTGCAGTGGAATCTACTGTGTAAAATAATAAAACTATGTTAATATTCATCAAAAATGGTATTAGGAACATGAAAAGAAACTTAAGGTACTAGTTTGGTTTCAAAGGACCAGAGACTTGAAAAGGTTGCGTTCATTATTTACCACAATGTGTGCACATCATGGTTTTAGATTGGTAGCTGATTTGGGAATTATATCGTTCTGTCTATTTTTTTCATAAATCCATTGTTTGTTTCTTTTTTTTGTCTTTGATTATCTTTGTGTTTATTTCCCTCCAGACGCTGCAGATGGGTATTAAGCATTTCTCCGGCCTGTTCGTGATGCTGTGTGTGGGTGTGGCCTTATCTCTGATAACAACATTAGCTGAACACATTGTGTACAAACTGGTGATCCCAAGAGTCAAGGAGCCGCGATACAGATACTGGCTGCATACTAGTCAGGTATTGGCTGAGTTAAATACATTACAACACAGTTCAAATCATGTTTTGACCGAATACCTAGAAAATCCGAAATATAATATACAATAATGAAAATGTATACAACCAATAAAATGTTTCTTTTTCCACAATGACTACACAACATACATCCACATGCTCTCTTTAAGCTAGGTTCCCCCAAAAAACGACATGATTTTTCTGAAACAAATTCAGCTTTGAATGAATGTATATAGAAAGTTTATGTGTTGCTTGTTTTTTTTTTGTTTTTTTTCAGAGATTACATCGAGCCCTCAATTCAGTCTATTGCGATGACAAACTAGCTGTCGCCAAGCCCGAAAAGAGGTAATGTAGTCATCTTGGAATCGCAATCAAAACTACAGTTTAATTCAGTGTGGGCAGGAGAGTGGACATCATGTCTTTGCATTTTTTTCCCGGTAATTTGATTTGAGGAAAATCTCGTCCTTAAGTCACAAAACTGTTATGTTTATCCTTCAGGGCATATTGTTTTGTTTGGGGCCCTGTAAGAATTTTGTCAGACAAGTAAATAAGAAACAGCCTTTGCCCCTCCATTGAAACATAAAAAACAGGAGTAAGAATGATCACTTTTTGATGCTTCTTTTGTCATCAATTTAACAAACCATCTACCAAGCGTAGTTAGTAATTCCCCCATGTATAGACTTTCAACGCCAAAGCAACACTCCAAATCTCATGTACATCAGAGGTATTGCTTTGTTTTAAAGGAGATGTCGCACAGAACTTGGAGCGTTGCCATAAATCAAAAATGAACCATAAAATGTAACATTTATTCAAACTAAAAATGCATTGGGACAGTTCCAGTCAGGAGGCAATATCCAAAAGCTAAATGCCCCATTGGCCAAATTATCAGGTTGAGAATAAGTGACATCAATTAACATCCAAGTGGCAGTTAAGGGACCAATTTCTTAGGTGAAATTAAATAGAATGGTCAGTCTTTTGGAAAGCAATTATCTTTAAAGGAAATTGAGGCGATAATCTCTTGCTGTCGTCAGAGTATTATTGAGAACCATGAGAGGATATGCAGTAAATCATGAGAGCTTTGTTCTTTGGGGAAGTATTGTATCATTCTAAAGGTTTATAGATAGGCTACTCTGTGTCCACTTTAAACAAGCCCTTCTCAGAATAGAACCGTCATATACGCCTTTATATGTTTTTCTGTTGGTCTCATGTCTTAAACAAGCATCCCCGTGCTTTTCTGTTACATTTTGCTCCAGCAAACTCGCTGAGTCTGAATTAGTCATATTAACCAAGAATAAGCACATAAAGCCATTGGGAGTTAGTCTGGCTCCAGATCAACTTCTAAGAGAGGGTATGATGGCCAAACAAGGAAGAAAGAGGAAAATAAATACAGTATTTTGGCTGATTCCATCAATCTCTGATATCATATGCACAAATACTACACATTTCATATGCCAACATGAACTTTTATCTCAAAATAAACAAAACAATGGGGATTCTAATGGCAAACTTGTCTTAATTCACTGTTCTGTCTTGTTAAAATCACAACTGGCTCTGGCATGCATGGGAGACATTAACACAAAGGGAACTGATTCCTGATAAAGAGACAAATAATTATCTACCCAGTGTTTGAATGGGTTTGACATAAAACTTCATACTTACACTGACCACACTTTATCCCATTCGCTAAGTGCTCATGTCTGGAAGTTTTTTCCCCCTCTTTTTTTTAGATCCCATATCATTAACCGAGCAAGTGGATTCCATTCTATTAAGTACCTCATGAAAGATTTAGCTGCACTCTATTTCACATGTATCCCTATTTAACGCGGCGCACTGAGGGGACTCTCAGGTGGCGCACTCAAAACGGGGATTAAATACACGTAATGATTATGCAGACAAGTCCATGTGAGGGATGCCTGCGGTAATGAGGATAGACTGCCTACTCTTGCATAATTACACTCATTCAATCACGCTTCTCTGCGTCGTGCCTCCATGCTGTCTCCGAGTCAGAAATTATTACTGTTTTATCGTCAGCTTCTTATGGAAACCTGAAGCTCTGTCAAATGTCTGCTTGGCCAGCACTTCACTGGAATCTGATGATCTTTACATTCGATGTGTAAGATTTTATACGTTAAGGTTCCAGCATTTGTAACTAAGTTAGCAGGGGATAACCTGTTTTAGGTCTATAAGTACAGAACTGTAACAGTTTGGTGGAAATTAAACAGGCCTATATTAAGACTCAGGTCTGACCCATAACGTTTATTGTATCCTAACTGTGCAAACAGGGATGTAGAAGGACTTTAAAGCTCCAGCAGGCAGTATGTCCGAGAGAATTAGGAGCACACTTTGCAATAACGTGAAACTCGGCAGGGCCACTTTCAATTGTGGTATATGGACTCCAACTAGAACTGGCACTTACGCAGGCTAAAAATGAAATAAAGGCAGTTTCATTTTCTTCATAATGTCTGCGCAGTACTGAGAACAGGAATGCAGCACTTGGGTTTTTTTTATGTAGGTTGAAGAGACAACAGAAGATGGCAGGTCAAGTCATTCCAGAGCTATGTCCGAAATGAAGTCCAATGGTCAAATACAGCTAGTGCTCAAGAAAATAAAGGGAATCTGAGACAGTGAGAGACAGATGGCGAATTCCCATGCCCGTAAGCAGTGAAACTGACAAAGACAGAGAGTGAAATGCAAAATCCTGCACAAACAACTAGGGATATTTGGGAAATGTTGCATTTTGAGAGCTCCAGCCAGGCTGAAGATGCTGTACTTACAGACCGGCTGCTGTGTTGTCACGCTGACAGGGTTCTTAGCCTTGGTATGTCGGTTTGTGAGCCCATCTTCTGGGTTTGACATCAGCTTAAGTGTCAGTCTCCCCCTTTACTGACACGGAGTTCACAGGATGAGGTGCAGACATTATTCAGATGAATGCAGAAAAAGCCTGCCAGGAACTGTTTGTTGGGCAAAGGGAAGTGAGATACGGGTCTTTGTTTCAAACATGCAAAGGAATGACTAAAAAAACAGCAGTAAAATCTGATATGCAATTTCCCAGACTAATATTTATTTCTTTGGTTGCCATTACGTCTTTGTCAATCAACATTCTGCTTCAATCTCTCGTCAAGACAATTCGTGAGCAAAAAATGAGTCGGCATATTTTTCTGAGAATTCTGATCACAGCTTATTCATGCAAACACAATATTGATGCGGATTGGTGTCGTCGAGTCAGAGAATTTTTGCGGCAGTTCAAACATTCTACATCTCATTCAAGGATGCTTGAACAGGGTGCACTCAACGCCTTACTTGCTGAAGAAGAGCCTCTTTTCAAAATGCTGCATCCACTTTCTCTCACCTGACAGATGGGTCGGGAAACAATATATGATAAAATTATCGTAAGAAACCGTGGAAAACTAACTTTTGCTAATCAGAATTGCATCTGTAAGGTGCGGATCCACATGTAAAACACATAAAGATGAAGGCATCGATGTGGATTCAAAATGTAAGTGACGACTTGACCTGACGGCTATGCAAAGAGAAAGAAAAAGGGGGCAGATATCTCTGGAATTGATGTGTTTGAATGAGGCAGCTGTAGCTGGCGAATAGAAGCTCATAGTCTCTTGCTTAAATAGTTTCTCTGTTGATAAGGTAAGAGAAGATGTCTGACCTGCATGCGTGTGCACAGGATCCTGGTAACACTGTTTACAGCATGTAAACAAACAATTAAATATAACTTTTGACAAGAAAAGTAAAAAAAAAAAATCTTCCATCATAGTGCTGAGGGAGATCTCAACTTTGAAAACCTTTGAACATCATGGTGCATGACTTAAACACATTTTGCTTCTTTGCAAGAGTAAAATCATAGACACAGTGCCTGCAAATGCATGTCTGTGCCAAAATGACTGCAATCCCCATGATAAGAAAGATCCTCATATGGAATTCAACACAAGGACGAGGAAGACAAGAGTCTCTGAAATACTAATATAGAATCATCGTTATTTGCATCAAAGGTTTCCAAGAGTCCCCCAAAGTGCTTTCAATGAAAATAAATAAAGCAATCTAATCCATCCATTAGAATTGAAAATTGATCAAAGAAAAGAAAGATTTGAAAATAAGTTGAAGGAGAAGTCACTTAAAAGCTATGCCAAAAAACTCTAGCTTTTAGCGGTGATTTAAAGCCAGCCTTTTATCCACCGCCTCATGTGGTGAGTGTTGACAGCACATCCAGCAATTCTGTCAGTCTACCAGCCGCAATACATAACTCAGATAATCTTCTCCTAAAATTTAGTTGTTGGCAAAACATCATTATAAGTCAGTTCAGGTACTCGCACAAAATACTTACCGCACAAAGCAGCTTCACTGGAGCAGTTATGCTAATATTTGTGGCTTCCAGAAGTCTATTGTAGTGCTCTTTATTTCAAAGTCACTTTCGCTGCAGCCATGCTGTAGGCACAGAGAACCAACCGTTCTCAAGAGGTGCATTTCATGTTCTTATATTTAGATGCGTCATTGTTTGGCTTAAAGTCTTTTTTATGTCAGCAATGTGTGCATGTTGGAGGGGAGGTTTGCTCCAAACTAACCTTAGAATCTGGGAGCTTAGTTAGCCTCAGGTCTGGCTGATTTTGTCCAATACATCAGAATTTCTTTGATGGAGAGACCTGCGTAGGTCTTCTCACATTTAACATAGACTTTAAAGGCAGAATATATTGTATTACCATATATGGGTACTTTATATGATTCATGATTTGTCAGCACAGAGCAAAAAGAACTAGTGAGGGGAATCTCACATTTCTGTAATATATATACATATAAAATATATATATATATTAATATAATAATTTAGACTTCTTATTACATGTTTACTTATGTTAGACAGTCCCTCTAAAAATGTATATTCATTTTATTCATTTAAAACCTAATTTTTCTAACCCTTAAAAATACTTAAAAGAAAGAAACAAAAGTACAATGGTTTAATTATTACAGATCATTTTGGAAAATGTAAAGCGGTCTATGCATGGTAAAAACACCAGCAGCCCCACAGGAGTTCATTAGTGTATTCCAGATGCAACACTTCCTGTTTGCTTTCTTTTGATTATGTGCGGATGCTGACAATAAGAATGTAAAACATCTTTAAACTGTTTCTTCACATTGTCACACGTTTTCTTATGTATAATGTAGAAAAGCTATTACTAGTTTCCTGTGTTTTTAAGGCCAAATAGTACATAAGTTACCAGTTGTCGTATAGTGTATCATGCACAGAATTATGTGTATTTCAGACAAAGAAAGTCACTTCTCATGTGTGTTACTTGTGCGATAGCATGGGTATGAAATACCATCTGAGATTTTAAGTAGGATTTAGACTTAAAAGATAGTGTGATCAAAAAACGCATTCCCATCTTGGCATTTAGAATCTCTACCTGACATTTCACTTTGCATCTGTCTCCAGGTGCAATGAGGGAAATAATCAGTCAGCCTCCTGGAATTCTGCAGAATCCTCCCTCTGCAACAGGCGAAGGTTCCTTCCACAAGACGTGCAGAATGACCTGGAACTTCCCTCCTCCCAGGATCTTCCACCTCCACCGCCCCCTTCTCCCCTCCCTCACCCTCACCCCCACACCCTTCCCCTTTTGGAGAAGAACCGCCCGACGGTAACCACCTCCAACGGTCGGTCAGATCTCTTAGGGCGGAGCTCTGGCCACGGACAAGGGGGATCCGGGCAGGGCGGGGTACCGTTTCAAGGGCTGGGCGTGGGCCGGAATCCGCTGGTTCAAGAACTGTCAGAGCTGGAGGGTCAGATTCTCGTCATCAAGCAGCAGCTGCAGTCGGCCATGAGGAGAAAGAGAGAGCTAGAACAGTACCAATCAGAAAACCAGCAAGCAAACCAGACTGCCATCAGTCCGCCCAGCGCACACCAGTTTGCTCAGTTCACTCAGCCCCACCAGCAGACTAACCAACACACAAACCCTCGCCCAGATTTCTGAAGCTTGCCTCCTCTGTTAGACACAGGACAACCAACCAAAATCTCTGGTCACTGATAACTGTGGTCCTTACCTTTGTTCTGGAGGTAAAACCCAAAAGGTCTCCAGAAGTAAGGCCACCCTTTAGGCTCAGGAGTTCCTGTAAATGCTGGACAAACATGCTCACCCGGTGTCAGATCCTCCACGACGGCTACAACACGGACACTGTTAGACCTCTGGAAGGCGATATTTGTTCGGACAGGAGGAGCTGAAGAGGGGTGGGAATCTTGAACCAAATCTATTCCTCTATGGCTCATTGAAAAGTCGTGCATCCACTTTCTATGTACCTCCTTCTCACTCTTTTCTGGACCCATCCACAGTCATTTTGCTTTGCGTTTCCTTTTGACTCACCCATACTCTGTAAGTGTACTCTCGACATTGTTAGTTTTGCTTGCCATGATCAGAAGCTTGATCATAGGTATGATGCTTCTTTGGTATTTGACTTGAAACAACTGATTCCCTCATGATTGTTGAAAAAAAAAAACTCACCCTTGGTTGAACCCTGCCAGTTAAGTCTGTATTTTCTTGCGTATTGCTGAAACCTTGCTCTCTTTCAGACACACGGCCGTGGGCGATTCGTTGATATCGTCACAGCTGAAGATGATGTTTGGAACAATTTGGACATTTTCTCTGAAAATTCCTTTTGGTACTGATGATGCGGTTGTTGCAAGAAATGAATGAAAAAAGATGCCATCCAAAGCTTTCACACGTAACCGTCTTGGTATCTTGAGGTGAATTTTAAGACAATGCACAACTCGGAGTATCAATTTATGGCGTTATCCTGCATTTCACTGATGCACTCGCAATTAACTGAAGAAAGTCATGATTTAATTTACTGGATTAAACTTTGTTTTTGTTTTGTTTTTTTTACTTCCCTTGGTTTTAAATCCCCAAAATGTTCTCCACGCTAGCTGTTTCTGTCCTTGCAAACACTAACACGTTGAGCACTGGACTGACTGTTACTTATAGTAACATTTACACCTGAACCCACAAAAAAGAAGAAAAAAAGTCCCTCTGCGATGAAATAGGGTGGGGTTTTTTATCCCCATTTCTTTTCCTTTGGTTTCTACACATTTACCCATTAAAAATGTACCTCCCTACTTTCAACTTTAAGCTTCTTAGCTAAGAGATTTTCTTGTCTCAAAATTCTCCAAAGAGTCCCATACCGTCTTAAAGCCAAGTTATGGTTTCTTTGTTTCCATGAGCTCCATGTGATGTCCATGGTGGTCCACTGTGACCCCACGCAGCCACCTGCGTGCAGTATAAAGTCGGTGACTGTGCATGCTGTACGCTCTGACTGTGCATGGACCGATCTTCAATCAAGAGGAAAGACAGCAAAAAAAAAAAAACAGAACACTTGCCAAAAAACAATGAGGAGCAAACCCTTCCTTTACTAATTCCCTGCAGGCCAAATCACATTGTGTGGGAAGTAACAAAGTGAATTAACAGCAAAGTGACTCAGTCCGGCCCCCCCCGAGTCTCTTGTTGAAGATGAAATTAAGGCTTAATGGTTTTTTGTGTGGTTTAGAAGGATTTCCTGTCACCAGTTGCTACACCAGTAGAACAATGGTTGAAAGTAACTTTTTAAGGGGGAGGGGGGTGTGGCTTATTTGGTAAGTTTGTTTCTTATTTTTTTGCCTTTTCCAAGATAGTCATTTAAATTCACCCACAGCATCTTATTTCCACACATCTTAAGATTCCATTATGAGACGCCCCGCAGCCACATAACTAACCAAACCACTCTGAGCTTTGCTCTATCTCAGCAGCGATATTTCCCCGCCACACTCTTCCCCTCTCACTCGTATTGCTTAGGGGGCAGCAATCTGGACGGGGGAGGGCATACACACAGAATAGCCAGCGATGACAATTTTTTTGAAAACAGAGCATGGTCAAATAGCGAGGCGCGCACACATCAACACAGCTCCTATCTGTTTAGCCGGTGTGTCTGCAGGGTAAGCGCAGGCCGCCACAGCTGTAATGAATACCTGACGGAGCAAAAGACGAAGTACACCGGCTGAGCTAGCTGAGCTTTTATTTCTGTTCCCTCTGCATGTTTGCCTTGCTAAGCGGCGATATAATCATCACTGGAGCTGATGCGGTGGTAACAGGATGAATCAACAGAAGTGGGTAAGAGTGGTTTTAGCATATCCATGTGCATTCTAAGCACCGGTTTGGGAGGCGCACGTGCTTGAACAGAGATGCAGGGTGAGGAGAAACCATCTGCCACAGGATGTGACACCCTTTGCACGAGACAGGAACAAGGTTTGTGCTGAATATATGGGGAGACGAACAAAACAACTGGAAATTAATCTTCTTTTCCTCGACTTTCCCAGAAAAGCACCAAAAACTTTTAGGTTTTTGGATTGATATCGCAGACATTCACACTTATTTTTTTTCTTTTACTTATAAGCATTACCCTCAGGGACAAGAAAGGGACAATTTGAAACACATTTTTTTTCATCCAGAGACAAAACAAATACACTCATCATTTAAGATGGACACATTTTTTTGCAGGATTCAAATTCAGAGAGCTCTTTTAAACAGAAAAATATTGAAACCGCACTAGGCTGCAGATCAGATAGCAAAGAGGGGATTTAATTACAGTAGAATTGACCAGAAAAATACGACGGACGGTTTTTGCTCCTATTTCATCAAAGTAGCTCACAAATGCCGTTACGTGAGACAACAACTATCTTTTCTTTAGTAAGTGAAACTTTTCCTTGTCCAATGTGACAAAAAACCACAAGAGAGAAAAGAGTTGCTACTGACTATTTAATTTTTGGACAAACCATGAAAAAAATAATATGTTGCATTTTTCATTAAATGCTTTTTTTTTCTTAAAGTAAAAGACAGTTATATTCACAATGGTAATGAGTAATATCTATAAAACATCTCTCATCATGCTGGGCATATCTTCCAATAGGAAAAGGAGTCACAACATTGCATCACAATCCACTGGCAGGTTGGGGATAGAGAGGGGGGGGCATCAAGGAGGAAAAGTGAAGCAGGAGTCTTAAAAAGGGCTAATGCTGCCTCAAATTAATCACTAATATGTACTCCACATATCCCAGATTTTATTTGCCCTTATCTGTTTCCAGGAGTTTCTTTAACTGAAATGTCAGTCAGATGTATCTCTGAACACTGTAGGATTAGAATCTATATGTATCTTTTACACTGGCTAGCTCGGCGAGATATCTCTGCCAAGATTTTCTTAGCAATGTCAGAGTGATTTAGGAAATAAAAGGTTAAAGAGACTCATAGAAAGCATCTTAACCAATAACACTTGAAACCTTGTAACAGATCTCAGGTGATATCAAGCCCCATTTTCAGACACATTGAGTTTTTCCTCAAATCACCTAAACTGACACCAAAACATATCCAGGTTTACAGCAGGCAAACAGGTCCAAATGGATCATAATAGTCATACAGATTAACAAAAATCCTTAAAAAATACGACCTAATAATGGTCAATTAATTTACAGAGAGATAATAAAAAGAAAGCTTCTGTCTTTTCTTTTTGCTGTACAAATGACAAACACCACAGAACAACAACATCGATATCTTTTTTTTCTATTGCAGTTTTTCAGACTGAGTGGAATGGACGCGGTGACTGATGAGGCATTTCACCTGACAGGATGTGATGTAAAACAGGCCGAGTCAGCGGACAGGATGTGCGCGGGTTAAACATCGTCGGGATAGGCTACGGCACTCGCTCATACAAAAATGTACAAAACACCATCCTCTAACTACAAACAGCGCATCTTGGAGGACGAAAACATCCCATGTTTTGAACGGTTTCCCATACCTGGAAAAAACAACCTGTGCTTACAGTAAAAGTTGGCTTTGTGATACTTTTGCACCGTTGTGATCTGTGCATCTTGGTGAGGGTGGGGGTCGAACATAGCCCAACTGAATGAAAAACCTTGCAAACATGGATTGGTCTGTCCCCCGGGTGACTTAAACACAAAAATCAGGAGTGTTTTTTGTAAGCATTCGGCGCCACGTGGCATGCGTCCTCGTCATTGTGTCTGGAAGTGCTGTGGAGACGCAAACGTGACCCGGTGCTGCCCCCTTAGTCATGTGACCTCCGTCATCGATGCCGAATGGTTCTGGAAAATGCACGTTGGAGGAAGGGAAGGGGAGGGTGTGGAAATGAAAAGAAGATACAGGAAAGTCAGTGCTAAGTGGTGCGAGGAGTGCTGTTCATAATGTTTTGTGCATTTGGGTGTGGTGGGGGGGGGCGTTACACAAATGGCATGCCTGATGTGTCACTTTTTTGTGTTAAGAAATGAAAGAAAGAAAGAAAGAAAGAAAGAAAGAAAGAAAGAAAGAAAGAA